AGGGAGGAAAAGGAGGAGGACAAGGTGATAATCACCAAAACAGCAAGATGGAACACAAGTTCTGAGAAATGCAAGCTATGAAAGTTTTTCGTGAATTCTGGAAAAACACCAGAAAATCGACGAAGAAAAATATGCAACTTCAAATTCACAAAAGATTACTGGAAAACAAATGTTCAAATGCAGAACCATGAAATAGAAGCAACAAAAAAGCGAAAATGTGCGACATACCTGCTCAAAGGAAGATGAAGATCTGAGACTGAAATGTTGAAGTGCAAATGAAATGAAGTTGATGCACAATGCTCAGAAGGTAAACGAACAAATGTAAGGGGAAACAAAGGCTTATATAGCCATCACTAGTGACCAGCGGGGCTGCGAATAGCAAGGATCAAGGCTATTTAGGTCTTTTCGCTCCCCGAATCATAACTGCCACAATCTTGGGTGCAAACCGCAACTATCATGGGCGAAAACCACAACACGGAGGAAGCCAAGGGGCAAGGGCATTACTGCTAATTTACCCCAAAAAGCAATGATTAGACAACTACAACGATGCAGCAATAAATGCACACGAAATGAAACGACGGCATAAGAACGACTGCAGCACGCTAAAGCACGTGGGCTGTACCACGTGGCAGGATGCAATGAGTACAATTCAAAAACCAACAGATAAGACAAGATATAAATGCATGCAGCTGTTAACCGGGTTAAACGCTGACGCTTGGGACAACTCAATAGTTGACTCACGACTACTAAAGCGCATCTTCTACACGGTTACTCCATGAAAGCGTCGAAGGTTCATGCACAACCCGTCGACCCAATAAATAGGCATAAAGACATAATCCGAGTCACGGTATAACGCTTGAGGGCAACCCGCCAGTGGGATTCGAACAACTTAAGCGTATTCCTAACTCGGAGTAGGAACATGGTTGCTGCTCAACCAGCAAAGGAGTGCAACGAGGGAAAATGGCGATGAATATGACATAAGCCAAGAACTCGAAATAAACATAAATGCTGACGTTATGGAACAACACGACCGTAGGAACCCGACAGCTAGAGATTATACCCGACCCAGAAGGTAGGGTACGCAAAATATCTCACCGGGTTGATGCTCAACCCGTCGACATAAAGGGGCAAGGGACACCCCGCATGGAAAAAATTCCAGAATAAGCGGAGCATGAAAAGTTTGCAAAAACGCGAACACATTCAGGGGCAAAAACCTGAAGAGATGCAGACATAAGTTCACCCCAACTACCCGGACGCTCAGGTAACCGGGGCGAGGGGCAACTGTTATGGACCCATATAATAGGCCCATTAAGTGGTAAGCCCAACAAAGGGCAGTCTAAGATACGAATTGATATTAACAAGGGATAAATATCCATCAAGGATACTAATCCTAATACGACAGCATAGCAAGCAGGTCTGGACCCTCACCAGAGGCACCAAAGGCCCATCAACGCTACTCACAGGTAACCTCTATAAATAAAAGGTAAACCCTAAAGGTACGTTACACACTCTCTCTTACTGTTATGCTATCACTGTGCGCACACACACCCCATTGGCTAACGTCGTTATAGTATTCTGTGCACAGTGATCTGCTTGACTCAATGATATCTCATTCATAGATATCTTGGAGAGGGCACTAGATCCAAGAGAAACATACCAGCCTACTGGGTTGGACATCTCTGTCCCAAGGACAAAACAAATTATAAAAATCATATCGAATTCGATATGACTATAGTATCGAAAGTACACTCGCATGCAACAGCACACAGTCAAAGTCACTTGTACAAAAGAGAAATGCTACATACAAGTTAAAAAAAGTAATTAGTTACCCTCATAAAACACCAAGGAAATTGTGCCACAACGCACACTTGTACAAAAGGAAATGTCATATACATAGGGGTGAAACTAGATTGGACCGGGCCGGCCTACAGGGCTCTATGGCTCGATCTACGTCAGGCCAGACCTGACGTAGTATATTTCATAAAATAGGCCGGGCTTGGACCTTAAAAAAGCTTGTATAATAAAAAGGTCGTAAGCTCACTTTCCCAAGGCCTGACCTATAAGGCTACAGGCTGGCCTATATTGTACTTTTTATTTTAAATAAAATAAAATAAGTATGACTTGAAGAAAAAAAAGATATAAATTTAATCAATTGCAATTATTTATAACTTAATTATATTCGATTATATTTTAATAGAAATCTCTTGTATAGTAAAAAGGCCGTAGGCTCACTTTCACAAGGCCTGACCTATAAGCCTACAGGCCGGACTATATTGTACTATTTATTTAAATAAAATAAAATAAGTATGACTTGAAGAAAAAAAAGATATAAATTTAATCAATTGCAATTATTTATAACTTAATTATATTCGACAATATTTTAATAGAAATCTGACTTTATTTCTTATGTAGGAGGAACCAACATCTCAGCATATTAGATTGTGTATATGAATATATTAAAAGATTTTAGGGAGATGTTATACTTACTACAAGCATCATGATGTGTTTGTTGGATTCATGTAGTTATTTTAATTTACATAGTATAGATTTGTTTGTTAGATCTGATAAAATATATGTTATTTAGTTTAAGCATTTTGCTTTTGAAATTGACTTAAATGCATATTGATAAGTCTCTTAATTGAGACATAGAACATATGAATTATATTGCAAATGAAGGGAAATGAATTGATTTTATGAATAAAATATCCCAACTTTGTGTGAATTGTCTCTTGTTGGTTAAAAACGTCAATGGGCTGATTTCTTTTGTGTTTTAGGCCCAATTGGTTATGATTCACTATGCAAAAAGACTAAAGGAAATTGGGCCATTATTTTGCTGATCAGAATCCCGAAAATGAGGAAAGAAAGAAAAGGCAAATCAGAAATGGAAGAAAAGAAAAGAAGACAAGAAGAGAATGGGCCAAGAAAATTAATCCATCAGCGGCCCAAAGAAGGAAAGAAAAGAAAAATTGAAAAGAAGAAAAGAAAGAGGAGAAAAAGGGACAGATCAGAATCGTAAGAGACAGATCAGAAACAAAGAAAGAAGAGAAGAAAAAAAAAACCATAGCTCTCAAACCGTCCAAGAAAACCCCTTTCCATCTAAACCTTCATCTCAACCCAACCGTTCCTTCCAGATTCCCCTCACCGAAACACCCTCTGATTTTCACTCAAGACACAGAACCTTAGACTCCATCACGGTTCATTTCTCGAATCGAACCAATCCCACACAAACCCTAACCGATTCTTGGTTCAATCCAGAAAAATCCAAAAGAGTTGATGAGCTGGAGATCGTTAGTGGCTGGAGGTGTTTTGGTGTGTGTTGCTGAATCGTGCAAGGGACACACCCACGATCGATTGGAGCAAGGAGCGTACGTTTGGGAGAGCTGATTTTGGAGCAGCTATAAGAAAGGGACAAAGGGCAAATTTGTAGGCATCTACTCGCTCCCTACCTCTCTTCTCTTCGCTGATTTTATTTTTCTGCTTTTTGAGAATATTTTTAGTTTTTCTGTCCTTATTTTTAGTATTTTTATTTTGTAATTTTGATGAGCACTGTTTCAGAACTATTGGCTGTGGATAGTTCCTGAGTTTTTTTATTTATTTTCAGTACCTTTTAAAGTGTCTATTTTCATTATGAACATTGGCTGTATTTTAGCTCATCAACCTGTGGTGATGAGCTAATTTTTCTGAGAGTTGGGTTGGATAGAGTACCCAGAACTCACTGTTAGTAGATGATGGTTTAATGTTTACAAGGTTGTTGTTCGGCTTGTTTACTGTGTATGCTTATTTCTGAGTTTGATATGTGATGATCACACATAGTCAGCTCTTAGTGGTGTGAGAGTATTGGGAAATAACTCACACTAGACCCCACTGTGAGCACATGGAAAGTTGAGAGAAAAATCTCTCTCAATGGGTATGGCTTCAGGGATGGAGTTACCCCCATGTAACTTGTGAAAATTGTGTCTCAAAGTCCTAAGACAACAATGACATAGGGATATGCCAAATGTTGTCAGTGGAAGAAAATTGATGTTGGGAAACAACAGTTACCTATTATTTTCGTTAAGCTGAAAGCATTTTCTGTTTTATATTAAAGCATCCTAATGACGTTTGAGTGAAAGGGAAATTGAAAACCCAACTCATTTCTAAATACTGATTTTAAAACCAATTTTTGTCACTTGTTATTTTTATTCAAATCTGAAAGTATTTTTCTGTTTATCAATTTTAAAAGAAAATCATTAAAAACAAATTAGTTTGCAAGTCTTTCAAGTAAGTAACTTTTTTAGGCAGTAGTTAAAGATCCTTCACCAACAAAAATCACTGTTTTAAGAAGAGAAAATTTCCACAAAAACATTTCCAGTACACTAGTTGAGAATAGTAGTAGCATTTAATTTTATTTGTTTTTATTCTTAGTTCTTTTAGCAATTACCAATTTATTTCAAGTTAGAACGCAAAGATCCTTGTGGGAACGATAACAGGGACTCACAAAAGCCCTATATTACTTGTTGTCGCGTATACTTGCGCGCATTACTTGCACAACTGTTAGCAAGGAAACAAGTTTTTGACGCCGTTGCCGGGGATAGAGGCATACATGATCAGATTTATTTGCGTGATTTCTATTTCTGAATTGCTTATTTTTGCTGTTTTTAGTTTAGCTTAATTTAAATTCTGTTTCGGTAGTGTTACTGTAGTTCGTGAATATTAATAGCTTAAAGCTTTGTTCTGTTCATATTATGTTTTTTTTATGTCATTTAATTTTTTTTTATTCTAATAGTTCATAGTTGTTATTTTATTTCATAATTTTGTAGTTACAGTTTTATTTTAATTATCAGTCTCACTCTTTTAGTGAGTCTGCCTTATAAAGCTGTAAAGCTGTGAACTGTCTTGGGACTTTTCTGTTTGCAGGTTCTTGTTTGTTTATTTTTTGCTTGTTTTGCATAAAAAAAATTGGTTAGTAATCTAGGTGTTTTAGCTAAGTCAGGTTTACCTGTTTTAGTTAAAAAGGGTGCATGAGTGCAACTCCACACCCGTTCATAGATTCATTTGACCCAGAACCTGAGAGGACCTTTAGAGTTAGGAGAAGAGCCCAAAGGCAAATCCCAATCCCAAATTTTGAAGAAATGGAGAATGTAGGAAATGGAAATGGAAATGGGAATGGAAATGGGAATGAGGAAGAAATACCAAAGATAGAAAACCCGCTTGTAATAAATGACAATGATAGGTCCATGATGGACTTCATCATACCTGTGTTGGATGAGTTAGATCCAAGCATAGCTCAACCTGTGAATGGAGTTTCCTTTAAGCTAGAACCGGTGATGTTCACCATGCTCCAAAACATGGGGCAGTTCCATGGGTTGTTGATGGAAGACCCACACAAACACCTTAGAAATTTCATAGAAGTGGCCAACACTTTTAGGAATCCCAACATCTCGGATGATGTGCTAAGATTAAAGCTTTTCCCTCATTCACTGGCTGACAAAGCCAAAGAGTGGTTGAACTCTCTTCCATCCAACTCCATAACCAATTGGCACACCCTTGCTGAGAAATTCATCATGAAATTTTTCCGCTCCAATAAGATAGTGCAAACTAGAGGTGATATTGCTAACTTCATGAAGAGGGATGGTGAGACATTAGTGGATGTGTGGGAGAGGTACAAGAACATTCTTAAGCAATGCCCCAACCATGGTTTGCCCTCTTGGGCAGTGTTACAAACCCTTTACAATGGCCTAAATACTCAAAACAGGGCCTTGGCAGATTCTGCTGCTAATGGCATGTTTATGACTATGTCCTTTAACCAAGCCCATGAGTTGTTAGAACAAATGACTCAAAGTTATGCCCAATGGCCTGAAGAGAGAAATCAGCCAAGGAGAGTGGCTGGTTTACATGAGATAGACCAGTAACAGCCCTTTCAGCCAAGTTTGATGCATTGTCCAATTTAGTGAGAATCCAAGGACAAACCATTGAGGCAATATTATCCCAAGTTCCTGTATCTACACCTCAAATACCTGTGACCCAACCTCAAGTTAACGCAATAAACACAAGTGTAACTTGTGTTTGCTGTGGTGGGCCCCATTTGTATGATAGTTGCCCATCCAACCCAGAATCTGTGTTTTATGTGGGAAACCAAAATAGAAACCAAAATAATTTTTCCACTAATTTTAATCAAGGATGGAGGCAGAATCAACAACCCCAATTTTTCCAAGGGCAAAGGCAGCAAGCTGGCCCTTCAAATGCCCAAACCAAACCACATTTTCCCTCCCAAAATTACCAACAACCTTCAAGGCAGCAACCTTTTGCTCAGCCTAGTGAGCTGCATATTGCTCCACCATCTTCCTTAGAAGCTTTGTTGAGGGAATATTTGGCTAAAAATGAGACCAAGCAAAACAGCTTGGAAGCTGTTGTGCAAAGTATTCCAGCATCCTTGAGAAACATAGAATCCCAACTAGGCCATTTAGCAAACACAATGAATACCAGACCCCCTGGTACCTTACCTAGTAACACTGAAGAGCCTAGGAGAAATAAAGAGCAATGCAATATGATAGAGCTTAGAAATGGCAGATCTGTAAATCAGCCAGAAGCTGTGGTTAGACCTTCCACATTAAAAAAAAGAGAAGAGGAGCACATGCAGAAAGAAAAAGATGCAAATTCTGAACCTGTTCAGAATTCTGTTGTTCATGACAGCCCCCAAGGGGCTGCGCATAGTAACCCTTACCCATTCTGGTTGAACCAGACAATCATCCCCCTATAGATGAGCCTTTAGGGAATAATTCCATGGATAAATCCACTCCAAAGGGTTCGGCCCCTAAGCCAAATGATGAGACACCTGCTGCCTCAAAAAGACCTCCACCACCTTTTCCTCAAAGGTTACAAAAACAGAAGCAAGATAATCAGTTTAGGAAATTTCTAGACCTCCTAAAACAGTTGCATGTCAACATTCCATTTGTGGATGCATTAGAACAAATGCCCACTTATGTGAAATTCATGAAAGAAATTCTTTCAAGAAAAAAGAGGCTAGAAGAGTTTGAGACTGTTGCTCTTACACAAGAGAGCAGTCAATATCTGCTTAGTAAGATACCTCCTAAATTAGGAGACCCAGGAAGTTTTACAATCCCATGTACCATAGGAGACCACTACATAGGTAGAGCATTGTGTGATTTAGGTGCTAGTATCAACTTAATGCCTTTGAGTGTGTACAAAAAGCTGAAAGTAGGAGAGCCTAATCCTACCACTGTCACTTTACAGTTGGCTGATAGGTCCTTAGTTTATCCGGAAGGGAAAGTAGAGAATGTCTTGGTGAAGGTAAATAATTTCATTCTACCTGCTGACTTTATTATTTTGGACTATGAGGAAGACCGAGAAGTGCCTATAATTTTAGGAAGGGCTTTCTTAGGCACTGGTGGGGCTGTGATAGATGTTAAGGAGGGTGAGTTGGCTATGAATGTGAATGGTGAGCAAGTAAAATTTAATATTTTGAAAGCTATGAAATACCCAAGAGACATAGAGGAGTGTTCTAGGCTAGATATCATTGAGTGTGTAGTCAAAGATAAATTTTTGCAAGAGTCTGCATTGGACTCTTTACAAATTTCTGGTTTTGGGGGTCTTGAAATCAGTCAAACTGATTCAGAGGAAGTGGTTAAATGGTTAAATTCCAGATCTGATGTGGTTTGGAAAAATAAAAATTTTGAGTCCTTAGAATTGGCCAAGAGAGGGTTAAAAATTCCCAAACCCTCAATTGAAGAGCCCCCTGTGTTAGAGCTCAAGCCTCTGCCTAATCACCTTAGGTATGCTTACTTAGGAGAACGAGACACCTTGCCTGTTATAGTGTCCAACCTGCTCACTGTGTTAGAGGAAGAACAATTGCTGACTGTTTTAA